TTTGGCAGTTCACAACAAGTTGTTGATCAAGTTAAGGATCACATAAGATTAGGTTTCAAGATTAAGGATTTGGGTGAGGCTAAAGAATGTCTGGGTATGCAAATCACGAAATCAGAAAACTTGAAAGAAATTCATTTGAATCAGACTAATTTTGCTAAAAAGATATTAGAACGATTTGGTATGGAAGATTGCAAACCTGTTGCGACACCATTGGCAATGAATTTGAAGTTAGAAAAGGGTGACATAAATCATGATCCCAGCTATCAAGAAATCATTGGGTCCTTGATGTATCTTGCTTTGGGTACAAGACCAGATATTGCTTTTGTTGTAAGTTATCTCAGTCAATTCAACAACTTCTGGAACACAACTCATATGTCAGCATTAAAACGTGTTTTACGGTACGTCAAAGGCACAATGAATAATGTTTTAATATATAAGAAAACTGGAAAACCGTTATGTGTTTTTTGTGATGCAGATTGGGGTAAAAATGAAGATGGTCATTCGTTTACGGGATATATGCTTGTTTTAGGTGGTGCTGTAATAGCATGGCAGGCACGTAAACAGCGATGCGTTGCATTAAGCTCAGCAGAAGCTGAGTATATCGCTGCTTGCGAGGCTGCTAAACATATTATATCTGTGAAAGGTTTATATGAAGAATTAACTGGTGTTAAAGTGTCAGTAGAATTGTTTAGTGATAGTCAAAGTGCTGCAAAATTGATTTATTCTAATGCTGTAGGTAGAAGATCGAAACACATTAACATCAAATACCATTTTGTGAGAGAACTAGCGGAATCTAAAGAGATTTTCATCACTTATTTGGAAACTAATTCCATGCCAGCTGATGCTCTCACAAAAGGTCTGCCAAGACCAAAGTTTGAGTACTGTTTAAGACGTATGGGTATTCAGGGGGCGTGTTAAAAATGAAGGTTGAATACCGATACGTCCAGTCATAGAGAAATGATTTTGGTTGCTATGTTATTGTTTTGTTTATTATCTTTGTTTTTAAAATTTTCTCTGTCATTAAGGATTATATTATTTTTATTAATAAAATACTTTATACGTTTACTCCACAATCCTTACTTTGCTACATTGTTTATTTCCACAAAAACAACAATATGGCACTTAGTGATGCTGCAAAAGAATCCATATATCTCAAAAACATATTGAAGGAAGTGTTTGGTTTAGATAATGGTGTCTGTATTTATAGTGATAATCAGGGAGCTCAACTGCTAACAAAAAATAACGTTCATCACTCACGAACAAAGCACATTGATGTTAGACATCATTTTATTAGGGATACTGTTGCTAGTGGTATTATTGGTATACAATATATTCCGACAAATGAAATGAAGGCAGATGTCTTAACCAAGTTTCTATCGAAGCAAAGACATCAGTGTTTAACGAAAGGATTAGGTTTAATTTAACATTTATAATGGCCTATTAATTTATTCAGAAGTAGGGGAAGTGTTGGAACTATTTAGTTTACACACCAACCTTCTTTCATATATCTTTTGATAGGCCACTTTGTTTTTTCTCTTTATATTCTTTGTCATTGTCAGTTTGTTTTTTCTGTTTAAAATATTTATCAAGAAAATACATAAGTCTTTTTATCTTACATGTTATTATTTTATTTGGAGTTGAGAGAATACCTATTTAAAGGCAATAAGTTCCTTTTGATACAGTAAGGCGACGTCTGGCTGAAGCAAATTTGAGACCATTAAGGCCTGCAAATGGCCCAAAATTAGAAAGACACCACTTAAACTCAAGGCTGAGTTATAGCAGAGAACACGAAACTTGGACTCTGGATGACTGGTCAAGAGTTATGTTTTCAGACGAGTCTAGATTCTGTTTATACAAGCACGATGGGAGGAAAAGAGTGTACCGAAGACCGGGAGAGCGCTATAACCAAGCTTGTATAGAGGAAAAAGTACCATATGGCGGTGGCTCTATACACGTGTGGGCTGGGATTTCTTCCGAAAGCCGTACTGAGCTAGTAGTGATAGAAAATGGCAGTTTAACAGCAGAACGATATGTGAATGAAATTCTTAATGACTATGTTGGTCCATTTTTAGTAGATATGGGCGAAAATGCTGTTTTTATGCAAGACAACGCCCGCCCGCATACAGCTCAGATAGTGTTCGACTATTTTCACGAAGTAGGTATCACATGCATGGAGTGGCCAGCACGAAGCCCCGACTTAAACCCCATCGAACATGCATGGGACGAACTGGGACGACGTGTACGTCAACGGAATCCGCCGCCAATCACGCTGCGTGAATTGAAAGGAGCTTTGATCGAGGAATGGCAGAACATTCCGCAGCATCGCCTTAAAAACCTTGTGGAAGGTATGCCGAATCGCATAGCCGCAGTTTTGCAAGCTCGTGGAGGCAACACGAAATACTAACATGCGTAAAAACGTCACATCTTTATACAATTCATATTTACGAAAATGTCAGAAAAACTACCTTTTTCATTCGTTTGACATTTATTGAAAATAAACAACTTTTAATTTGTATTTTTTTATATTTAATAAATTACAATTAAATAATCTTTAATTTAGTTTTTATTTCATAAAAATAAGTTAAGTAGTTTTCAAGATATTGACGATTTTCTAACCGACCCGTTTTCTTTGCGGTCCAGTGTATTTGTTGGACGTGGTACTTTTGATGGAAGCAAATCATAAAGCGAAATGGATAAATTTGGACAATTAAATAAAATATGATCCGTAGTTCCTTCCTCAATGCCACAATCGCAGAGGGGGTTGTCTTTAATTTTAAATTTGGCAAGTCGAACTGGGGAACACACATATCCAATTCTCAAGCGACAAATAATTGAAATAGTTTTTTTTACTTAAAACCATCTCCTTAAAGAACCAGGGAGTACTGGGGATAGTTCTCCGAATGTCAAAATAATACTTTCCCACTCTATTTCTAGTATTTTCCCAATCAACATTCCATGACCTCATTAAATGTTCATGTGCTAGCACAAAGAGATCGTGATGAAAAAGTTTGGAATATTTTAAAGAGCCAGTTATAACAGCTTGCTTAGCACATGCATCAACTGTCTCGTTCCTAGAAATACCACAGTGTTCCGGAATCCATGCGAGGGTAATGAGTAACTTCTTAAAATGGTACCTATACATGCTTGTCTTATTTTAAATATTATTGGAAATTTATTTTTAGAACGAAACAGATTTGATATTATAGACCATAAGCAACTCTGTGAATCTGTGAAAATAATAGTTTTGTTAAAGTTATGAGATTCGGCAAATAGGATGGCCTCAAGGAGAGCGAAAGCTTCTCCTGTAAATACAGATGAGAGACAGGGAATTTTGAAACTTAATACTAATCTGTGAGCGGGAATCCATACTGCTGATCCAACTGGAGCATTAACATGCTGTTTGGATGCATCAGTGTACATGTATATTCAGCCTTCATATTCCGATGCTAATTTCCGTGCCATTGTACGCATGACATATGGAGAATCTTTGTGGATTCCAAACCAAGAAGAACGACCGGCTCAAGAATAAGTGGTTCAAAGCTATTTTCAAAAAGAGGAAGACGAGAATACCGTTCTATGGGAAGGGAAGGAGTATGGATTAGACAACTACCGATGAACTGGAGGAAGTACTAGAAACTTTCAACAATATTTCTAAGTTTTTTAGTAAAGAATGGGATGCACGTTGTATAACTTTAAGGAAAAATCGATCACTCAAAAATTGCCTACGCAGATACAAAGGCTCAACGCATTCGATCTGGAGACTATTGATAGATACGATTTCATGGCACCTATAATAATTCGCAAGCATTTTGATTGAACTTTAGTTATTTTATCAAGTGGCAACTTATTACATGATTCTAAAAGAAAGGAACCATAATCGAAGTGACAGCACGTTCCAATTGTGTTTACACTACTAAATAGCTCCAGTTTTATGAGAAAATAATATAAACATAGAATGTTCTTTGTTTGAATTTGAATAAAAAAATATATAATAGTTTGCATTCATAATTATATGACGATCCAGTAAGAAATAATTCTTGGATTAGATTTTATGATCGCGCAATTTATAATCTTTTTTATTCGTGGTTTATTAAATTTAATTTATAGAAGGAAGTACCAACAATGTAGAAAGATTTTAGAGTCCCAAAATAATAAAAAAAAAAAACTCATATATGCAACAAGCTATAAGGTTTTTTAAGTAAATGTACTATTTTCAAGGTATATTACCACTGTATATACTTCAATTGTCTTATTTTAAAGTTTCACCATTTTGCTTGTATTATTATAATATATGTTTCGTGTTCACTTTTTGTTATTTGTATAATTTGTATGTAAAGAGGTTTAAATAAGCATCAATAAACAATGATTAGGGTGTATGTCCTGCATAAATATATGAAAAAATTTTGGAACTTAGATAACATCACACAAATTGCTCTGATACAAAAAAAATTAAGTGCCGTTGAGTCTTGTAATTTGAAATCCCAACAAACGTTCAACACAATACAGAAAAATTCGTTTTCTACATTGACCTGACAAAATCAAGCCAATGACCTCAGATGACGGCAGATGGTGAATGACACCATGAAACTGATGTGCGAGCCACTCTGACATAGAAATCGTTGATAAGCAAGCACATTTATCTGAATTATAATTCATATTTAATAATTACATTTTATATTCTTTAAAGCTTGGGAGTTCGATGGTTCAGTGGATAGTGCGCCCGATCTGCAAAACTGTTATCAAGCAACTTTTACAATGGCCCGTCATAGAATGGGTGGCCAAAAATGTAATATTCTGAACTCTGTGCTTCGGAAGGCACGTTAAGCTGTTGGTCTGCAGTTGCAGTCGTTAATACCCACCAATCCGCACTGGGCCTGCATGGTGGGTCATGGCCCATTCTCCCTAGACAATTTGATTCTATCCATGATTCGATTCGATTCCAACAGTGGGAAATTAATAGGCTGGTGATGAGGCTCCTTTAAAGTATCATTATTTTACAGGAAACCAAAGAGAGCTCCACCTTCATGGGAATGGAACTTAAATGCAGAAGATTGTGAGTATACTGCTCTATACCCTCGAGCTTGGACGACATATGACCTATCAAAATATGGAATCAAGCTAATATGTAGACAAATATCACCTGTCATTCCTCATAACTACAAAGTATGTTATATTTTGTTTAATAACTGTAGTGGGTGAATTATTTACTTTAAATATTGTCCTAGATTATTATCTCGATATCTTTAAGCATTACTAAAATTAAAGGACTGGACGAGACTCTTAAATTCCAGTATTTTTAAGATAAATATTAAGATAGCATTATAAAAAATTAACAATACATAATAATAAAATATCTAATTTTAATTTGAGTATGCTTTTCCATTATTCCATATTCATGTAATAAAAGATAAACACTATACTTCTTTACTTCCATTATTGTAGTTATTCACAGAAATTTAAATACATAAATACCAAAAAGAGAACTGAGCTGGGCTAAATAATAAATAAACTAAAAGTAGTTAAAATATGAACAAGTTTGTATCTTTTTGCCTCTATTCATTGTATGTAAATGTTTCAGGACAGCAGCCTGCCTTGTGCTGTGTTTGTATTTTCAGCACAAAATATTAGCAATGAACATAGAAATGTTAGTATAACATTTACATGGACTGAGGTTCTCGGAGGATCCAATAAAAAGAAATCTACCGGTATGTTTTTGATATTTCAAAATATTTAGTTTAAACTACACTGATATTAGGTACGTTAAATATTTTTGTATACTATACTTAAATATTATTGAACATTAACTATACTAATTATTCAGCGCATAAAAACTTATCTTATCTTCAATGGAACTCTATTACATAAATATTCGAACGTCCTTCATAAGAAAGAACATAGACCAGTCAACACTGAACACAAAATTGTGTACAAAAGTTCTTATTATTATTCTTTTCCGTCTGTTAATAAGGAATGAACCGGATAATGATTAGGCCGGATACCGAATATTCGTCCCTTTAGCACATCACATAACGCGATCGGTTTGATTTGAATATCGACGCGGTGCACATAGATCGAAAGTATTTGTGTGCGTTCGGGCGTGAGCGCACGTTTACGACCTTACTTTTAATTGTTTAAACTTATTACCAATTTTATTAGTGCAAGTTTATAACTCGAGTCTTGGAATCGGTAGTGTTTGAAAACATGTTTTAATACGGAAAATATTGTGTTCATTTTATTATTTTATTTCATTTTATTACAAGCATTAACACTCATATACACAGTCAAAAATTAGTTTATAAAAAATTGAAAATGAAAATATACAATAACTTAACAATAAAATATAATCAAAATCATAGCTAAAAACATAAATTCATTACAAATATCTGAAATACATTAAACACATAAAATTATTCGTCATATCTTAAAAATATCACGAAGATTAATTAAAGATCATATTAAAAAAATTCAAATCAAATTAAAAATTAAAACAACGTAAATAAATCATTAAATTAATACATTCTATACAATCGCTCATAAATCACATTTTATCATTTTACATGAGTCATAAATTGATAGTAAAATTTTATTATTGGTATTTCTGATTCTGTCTTTGAAAGCGGCAGCCCTTTTTCTCATAATTGCAAAGAAACCATCAATGCTATTGTCGAAGAACATGCCAAACGCGCTACACCGCCATTGCTGGTTCATCGTTGCTCAGAATGCGTTTTTATATTGCACATTGCATTGAAACAAGTCCACAGCTGTTCTAAAACGCCTGGCAGTAGACACTTTATACACCACAACTTACCACTTGTTTATTTAAAGTACTAAATTAATTACTAAAACATTCATTTTTGAAATGCGATGAAATAAATAAACAGTGCTCATATCCTATTGTGGTATGATTTGCCCTGTGTAAAACAATGAGATAATTTTTAAATTTTACCTTCCGTATCCAGTGGATACTGAATTACTAACCGGTATCAAGACGTTAGGCCAGATACCGGATAGTTGCCGATTATGCGTTTCATCTCTATTGATAATGTTGCTTACATTGTATGTTGGATCAGTCTTTCCCAGTGAATGAAATGACATTGGGAAAGTAGGTTTGTAACATACTGCTCGAGCCTATTCAGAATTTGTGAGTGTTAGCAACTGAAAGACAAACGACGACTGAGAGACATGAATTTTTGCTACCAATCCCATAGCCAAATTTAACCACCGCAATCATTAACCAGATTCGCATTTTTTTTTAATTGCCTTACTAACACTACTATTAACTATCTTATTCCAGCCAAACTTGATTTAGAAAGATATGCAGAAGATCACACTAGTGGTGTCACACTAGAGCAAAGAATTGATGAAACTCCTTGCACATTCACGTTAGCTAAGAAGAAACATGAAAATGAAACTATTCATGAAGACTACTGTCTATGGAATGCAAATAAAACCTCTTCATACGTTTGGGAATGTCTCAAGAAACATGGGAGACTGGAGCCTGATCCCAGTCTGACGCCACCTCCACCTAAGGTGCCTGAAAAGACAGAGAAAGAAGAAAAAGAGAAAAAGGAGAAACAAAAGAAAAGCTACAAATGTGAGTGTTACGTCTGCTATATTTTTAATAATATATTCATAAAAGAAACTTATACAGGTTGTTTTCCCGCGACTTCGCTCGCTTGAATTATAGCCTACTAGTTTTCCGCCTATATTTATACAGATAAATCTTCCTCTTGAATTCTGTTGTTGACTTCCCGCAATTTGTACACAGAGATTTGTACATTTTGTTTTTGTTTAATAACTACTTAAAATAATATACCTTTGTCCTTTATAATATTAGTATAGACTAATATGTGAAGAACTTTGGACTTCTTTAAACGATAATAGTTAGGATGAAATTTGGCACGTTAAATTAATTTGGAGAGGAAGTATAGAATGCATTTTTTAAAGTAATGTTATAAAATACTCAAATCAATAAAAAATACACATACACACATGAGTTTACCACTAACCACTTGTTAACTGAATGTCAAACAATCAAAGAAATACATTTTATCTAAACTCAAATCGAAAAAATCGAATTACAAATTCAAAGACGATTCTATAAATACGCACTTTATAAACGCATATACATAAAATTAAAAATGAAACTCATTATAGTACCGCCAACTGTATCATTAAACTAATTATAGTACCGCTATCTTTTTTTATTCATTAAACTAGTCTATGGTTTATGGCTGAATTTGAAAAATGGCGTACGCATGCGTAGTTTGAATTGAACTTAATTTCCCGCGTTTCCCATACATTTTTTGCCGATCGTGAAAGTAAAAAATTACTTCCTTGTAACCTACCTACTTTGTTTAATTTCAATTTTTCCTATGAGTGAAGATAAAGTAGTGTATGAAACTGCATATAACTTAGGTATTAAAACACTCGAGTGAACCTATTATCGTGATAAACAGACTCTCGTGTTTTAATACCCCTTTGGTCAGTTGCACAAACGTCCATTAAGGTTTAATGACGCCTTTAAGCACTAATGAATGTCAAATTTGTATGGGTAATGTCGCTTTAAACTAATGAAAAATTTAATGAACGTTTGTGCAACTGGCTGCTTATATGACAGTTGCATAGACTACTAATATGGTAAAATCATAATCATTATATTTGATCAATTTTGCATTCAGAACGCTATACTGGAAAATATTCTTCATGAAAAATGCTTAAAAATGATCTTCCTCCTTAATCACTTTATCTGTCTCATCTTAGAGTACCTAGGGTAGTGGACTTTAAAGCATTTTAAATTAAGAATTTCAACTTTCATAATGTTCAAACTTTATAGTTTAATTTCTGTAATTGGGCGACCAATGGTTTGTATTAAACCTTACTTAGTACACTAAAAAAGACATGATCTTACAATATAAATTACATAAACTGATTTGTTAATAATAGTGTATTGACAAGTAGTAACTATCGAAGTGACGCTTGGCTAATGCATCATGCTCGTGAACGGGTGCTGCTAGTGGAGACGAGTCTGCTCTGGACTACTTAATTTTTTCCATTTTCATTTCGAAAAACATGGGTTTTTTTATTATTTCTGATATTGTAATGGAAAGTGACATCATTGTGTAATGAATTCACTTTCTAATAAGATTTCTCTGAATACAATAAAACGGAGGGAAAAAGCAGTATCTGCTGAGTTTTTTGTCGGTTCTTCTCAGTTCAAGGTCTCCCGTTGTAGTTTTGTGACCCAATGGCATTGTTTACATCATTCACAAGTGCGTGTAACAACTTAGACTAAATGAATAATAATGATTTTGTATTTAGTGTTCATATGTAATCTTAAATTATCACTTAATTTTATATCCCAGGTGATTCAGTAGGCCTTTCTTCTGTTATATCTTTGGATCCCGGAGGAACTGGTTCTACGGAGTTTAGTTTAGTTTGGGACATGCCAATAATTAAATATAAGAAGGATAAAAAGATACATAAGAGGTAAAGATAAGATGTTATTTACATTAAGTGTTGTTTGTTATTGTGCGGCAAAAATTATTTAAGGCATATTTTAATTGTACAGGTATTATACAAAATACTTTGGCAGCGATGGAATCGCTGGTGCCAGCATAGCTGCGTACGCACTTAGGAACTATAAAAATTGGGAGAAGCAAATTGCAGAGTGGCAAGATCCTATATTGACAAATAAGTAAGTTATTAATAATATTAATAAATACTCTTTAGTGCAAAAAAAGGGACATCACATAGAGACATATAAATATTTATATGAGAACGTACAAGAGGCGGCCTTATCGCTAACCTGAAACAAACAAAACATTAAATTTTTATTATTGAGAATCAGGTATCAATTTTTAATAGTTTTTCTTTAAATTAACGTTAACCATATAGGCTGTTATATTCTAGTAGAATAATATTTTTTTACGGGATTGCTACCATGTATCCTATTTTTATTTAGTTCTACGTTATGTCTGCGCTATTGCAAGCGCCGTGATCATCACGAACTGAAGTTTTTGCTATGGTCATATCGGCAACTCAATAAAAATAAATTACATGGTAGCAATCCCGTAAAAAACTTATGTAAATGACCAAGAAAGCTTAAAACGATATGTACTTATATTCTATTCATTAAGTCAAGATGATACTGAGAAAATGTGCTATAGGTAGAATATTTCTCTACATTGTATAATTGGTAGCGTTTTGATCTGCTCAGTGTCTTTTACTGTGGTCGGTTATATATTTTTTATTTTACATATTGTCGGGAATAGTGCAACATTCCAATTAAGAGCTTGTTTAAGTGGGATATTATTACAATTGTTTAAGAGCCAGTCGCACAAACGTCCAATAAAAATTTTCAATAGTTTAAAATTTAATGTGTTTATTTTATAATAAGATTCTTTCAGCAATATACCAGACTGGTTAAAAAGTGCCTTAATGAATGAGCTTTATTATATTGCGGATGGTGGAACTATTTGGTTCGACGTTCACGAAGAGTATCCAGAATCTGATCCTAGGTATAATAATCATACGCAGAATAAATACCGATTTTAAGTAATTGCATATTGATAAAGTGACATTTCCTGTTCCAGACACGATTTTGGATTGTTTGGTTATTTGGAAGGTCATGAATATAGAATGTATAATACATATGATGTACATTTTTATGCGTCATTCGCATTAGCACAGCTGTGGCCTAATTTACAAGTTAGTGAAATATTTTCTTTTTTTGGGTGCAATAAGTTATAAAGGTATTTATAGTTGTAATTAGAGTGCCATGTAATAAGTTCTTATCGGCATGTTATTCTTATATGTGATATTTCAGTATACTGAAGTACTCAGAGTATCGTCATCATCATCAATTCTTTTACTGCAGGAGATCAGGTCTTCCGTATGGATTGTTAAGGAGGCTTTGCCGTGATCCTCCACGCTTGCCACTTTCCGGATTGCAAATGCTGCTGGGACCAACGGCTTAATGTTCCTTCCGAAGCACAGATTAGCTAGATATAATATTTTTCGGTCACCAATCCCGTGGCTGACCCTTGCTTGACAACAACGATCGCAGGCCGCGGCGTTTATCCACAACGCCAGTCTAACCGAGCTAACTAAGAGTATACTGAGCGGTAATCATTGCGGAGTTCAAGCGCTGGACACGATATAAGTATATCGCATACTGATTTATCAACTGTTACAAAATTGCAGATATTAGCGCAAGCTGTCTGTCTATTAACACCTAAATGAGTGGCGGGGAAGAGGGTCGCCAATCTTATTTTATCTTGAATCCTTTTTAAGGAGATTCTCCATAGTTCTTACACTCCGATTATTTTACGTCAACTCGGTAATTAGCGACAGTAACAAACGCGCCCAAGTATCAAGTGGATCATTATTTGATTATAAGAATTTTATACATTTATATTACATTCAAGCAACATTTATATGTATTGAATATAACCACCAGAAATCTGTTCACACTAAGAAAATAATAGATTAACAAACGACAACAAACTATTTTGATCTCGTCTGTACTTAGAATGAAACGCACGTGACAAACAGAAAATTGAGAAACATAAAATATATAGAAAGAAATCGATTTATCAAATAACCAATAACAAGGGTGCGAATATTTTAGGTCGTATTGCAGTATATGTTCCGTGATACTGTTGCGTTAGAATCTGAAAAATGCAGACTGTCACTGTACGATGGGAAGTCTGTGAAGCTTAAGACCAAAAACTCTATACCACACGACCTTGGAGATCCAGGTACGTCGATATAATTTTGTTTTTTTTTTGGGCTAGATAAATTTCTCGGTGAGCAGTTTTGTAACTTAAGTCACAATTCATTCTATGGATTAAGTAGTAAGTGAGAACAAAATATAAAATAACTTGTTGGGAGAAGGGAGAAAAGAGTTGACAATTAGAGAATGCCATTAGCATTAAGTCCGCCTTTATTCCCTTTTGTTTACTGGTCAATAAATAAATAAATAACTACGTGTTTTTTTGCTTCGCCCGCGTATGACGTAGCTTACTATAGGTGTAAGAATTTTTATGATTAGAATAGTATTTCTGAAGATTACCCCCTGACAACAAACAAAATTAGAAACTCTACCTCTTTATAAAATTAGTATAGATAGATATCATCATCATCATCATCATCATCATCATCATCATCATCATCATCATCATCATGATCATCATCCCTTTTACGTCCCCACTGCAGGGGCTCAAGCCTTCCTTATGGATTGGTTAAGGAGGATGGCCCATGACCCTCCACGCTGACCCAATACGGATTGGAGGGTATTAACGACTGCAAATGCAGCCGGGACCAACGGCTTAACGTGCCTTCCGAAGCACGAAGTAGCTCGAGATATTAATTTTTTGGTCACCCATCCCGTGACGGACCCTTGCGAAACTTGCTTAACGACAACGATCGCGGGCCGCGGCACTTATCCACTACGCCACCGACCTATCTCTAGATAGATATATATACCCAGAAACGAATATATCATATACTATTTTTCCGCCAGCGACTTTGACCACGTGGTCCCGTATTATAAACCTTTCTCCTGAATCACTGTATATTGATGAAAACTGCATTAAAAAGTTAAAAGATCTCAGCGTGCAAACAGTTAGTAGCGACTTTGTGTTATACTATGTTATAGATTTGGATAAATTATGGTATAATTAATGTATCTATAATATGTAGCCTTTATCTGTTAATGTAATAGAGATGATGACTGGGTTAAAAAAATATTATTTATTCCGTCAGTAAGATATTATACAAAAGCGTGACGTCATGCGACATTTCAACTCAATATGTGTGTAGACAATAAACGAAAATAAATACATATTCTTTTTTTCTGGTAGATTTTAATATACTATTTCAGATAATCACACTTTTATGCTTAAACTAATTATGAAAAAACAAATATTTTATACTCGTTGTCACGTCACCGCAAACTTTTATCAGAACAGAGAATTCAACCTCCTGCATACATATAGTGATATTCGATTCAGCGTGTCACGACACGCTACACGTATAACGACGCCATGACAGAAGTAGCGATTTTGCGGGAAAGTTTCAATTAAATTTATTTTTAGATTTTAACTTATTATATGAATAATAAATATTTAAGACATAATTCATATATATCTATAAAAAAAAAGTATTAAAAAATCTTGTCTTCACCCCTATTAAAAAAATCTTGTGTTTCATATTTTTCAACAACTTACCTGATGGACAAAAAACAAATTTAGTCGACATCCCTATTATTATTGTTACACAGAGGACATACCGTTCGCTCACATAAACGCGTACAACATACACGACGTAAGCGAGTGGCGAGATTTGAACCTCAAGTTCATACTGCAAGTGATCCGCGACTACCGCGTGCTACGTGGTCACACGGCCCCCTTCAGCAACGAAAGGTACCACTCTATGGCGTATATAGATGACGTCAGAGATGGTACTGAGGACGATCTGTACTCTAGATCCACGGGGCAAGCGGAGAAATCGCCCTTAAACACACCAGAGTCTACGGAGGAATCCACGCCGGTCACACGTGTGAACAAACCTTATTGTGTAGGAGATATACTGGATCTGCTGTACAGGTAATTGTATCGATTAAACGCTGAAGCCTCCGATTTTATTGTACAACTAGCTGTTTTCCCGCTAATTCGCCCAGGTATGAATGTAGGTTCCCGTAGGTCAAAGAATTTTCATGATCGGATAAGTATTTTCTAAGACTACCCGCTACAAACAAATAGAGTTAGAATCTTTACCACTTTATCGTATTATTTTACTCAAATGTATATTTTTGAACTAATAATTATATGTCATGTTTCCTTTAAAAATTTGATTCCTATAAAATAATCATCACTGACGTATTTGTGGTATATTATTTTTTTCTTTTTTGATTTATGAATTTGTGAATCAAACGTTTAAGAGCATTTTACACTCAACTTATTTTACTTCGTGTTTTCTTATGATGAATTTAATTACAAATAAATAATGAATTAAGTATATTTTTCGTTTGTTAAGGCTGTAATGGGTACAGGTGACCATAATTTACTTAATTTTAATGGATTATAGTAAAAAGTATATTTATATTAAGATGCTGAAATCGCATCAGTATCTGATTTTAAATAAATTACTTTAAGGATGTGCGTTAATTATGCTGCAGATGGTATATATATATATATTTCCATATGTTACAATTTATCTCTATACAGAAGCACAGAGCCCGAAGCTGAAGGCGAAGATAGTGGTGATAAGCCAGAAGCAATAGAGACTTCGAATGTGTGGGATTGTAAGACGTATTTGGCAGATATGTATCCGTCCTGCGTCGCGTTACTACGCCGTTCTGCCATGTGGGACAAGGACGGAGATGGACTCATAGAGAACGGGGGATTCCCCGATCAGACTTACGACGCCTGGGTCATGCAAGGACCGAGGTTTGTAATTGTATTAGTCAATAGTCTAAAGAAAATAGAAGTATATAAATATAGCTTTAGATATAGGTTTTGTTGCTTAATTTATTATTATTATAGTACCAATTATTACCATACCGTGATGTGTGCACTTAAATAAAAGTCCCAACAATATTTTTAATGAAAAATGCTTAAAAAATCCACTTTATCCCTGGCACTCTGACATGGGACTCGAACCCATGACATCTGCTGTTTGTACCTTATAAAGATATAGTTTAATAAACATGTGTTTTGTGCCTTTGCAAAGTATTGTCAATTATACTGCCAAATTGTAAGATTTTTAATAATAGTTAAATGCTCTGCTATGGATTTGAGAAAACTTAATGTGTGACCACTTTTAAGCTAGTTTTGTTTTGATCATGATATGGTGAACGGTGTTGGTGTACAATTATATCTCATCTATTTAATTGTGTTAATTCAATGTAAATTGTATCACTTTTTATTTACCCCTGAAAATAAATAAATTAAAAAAATAATTCAAAAATGACCTTTCGCAATCTGCTCTAACCATTGAACTACCCAAGAATATTTATGAACATTGATGAAAATACGCTCTGTAGTAGCAAAAAAGTAACAAGTGTTTGAAAAATTCCTCAGTCCTGTTATGTCCTGGGTAACTGAGTGCTTAGAGCAGTTGCCTGAATTGCGGAAGGTCGTGGGTTCAAATCCCATATCAGAATGACAGGAACAAAGTAGATTATTTAAGCATTTTTCACTAAGCATATTTTTGTGCCTTTTTTTTTCATTGCACAGTAATGATTGTTTTGTAAGAAACTAAAACAATTGATTTTTTGCAATTTTAGTGCTTATTGCGGTGGTCTTTGGGTTGCATCTGTGTCTGTTGTGCGTGCGATGGCACATATTCTCGGCTTTGAAGAAGATGAGAGAGAATTCGCCAAGTTATTGGACCAAGCTCGCCACTCGTTCGAAGAAAAACTCTGGAATGGATCATACTATAAGTTCGACACAAGACCCGCTAATGCTAAAGTCGTTATGGCCGATCAACTCGCTGGGCATTGGTGAGATATCAGATTTAAAAAGTAAAAAAAAACAGAGTGAAATGTTATATTTATTGTTACATTTTTGATTAAAAAAAAATATTTTTATTTTTAGTTATCGTTATAGAGTTGGTGATACTTGATCATATTCATATGGTTTGCAATGAATTAGAAAAGGATTTCTTAAAAATTGAAATATAATGATATTTTATCTTAATATACTGTAATATTATAATATAGAGTTCAATTAAGATAATATTGATTAAAATATATAAAATTATATGATTTTAATTACAAACTATTTATTGACTACTTTGACGTCAGTTATGTTTCTATCATTGTCTAATGGCAATTCTATCTATATCGAAGAAATTATTAACAAGATACCTATTCGTCACTATGCCTGTTATTATGTATTAGCAACTATCTATACATAATATAATACAGTCGCTTCCCGCTGTCTGTATGATACGATCTCTTTATATGTATAATACATCACCACACGGGCGAAGCTACCTGTGCGCAAATCTAGTTTTGAATAAAAAAAAGTATTGAATAAGGGCGTAGTTTCGGTAGTGAAAAATAATTCTTAATAAAAAAGCTTAAAAAATCCATTTGGTTGGTTTTAAGCATTTTGTATTCAGAATAATATTCAGTATGGCATTGTGAATGCATATTTAATCAAAATATAATAAGTGAAAAATAAGTCACGAAATTGCAAAAAAAAAAAACTAAAATTTACATCGTAATAAATAGATATTCTGATTTTGAGTCTTAAAATCACGTGTCACGTGACTTAAAACAAAACCCGCCAGTGTGTAACATGTAGTGACATTGTGGCGACAGCCGTCAGATTGGCCATAAAGATATGCTTATTAACTATAAATCGGCTTCCTAGATGGCGCTGTTCTTAGGTTATTTATATGTTTTTAATTCGTAGTCGATCGTTAGTTGACACTGTTCTTGTTTTATTTATATTTTCTTCTCTATGCATCTGTTTTGCGTACATATCAGAATGTCATAAATATTACTGTCATCGTTTTCGCGGGTATAAAAAAGTTTAAATTTTGATTTAATTTTTGAAGGCAAGAAGTCTTTATTTTTCCGAAATTTATGGTGTTTTTAAATTAAAAGATACGCTTATATGTATTATTTCAAACATAGTAGAATACCCGTTTATATATAAACTATTTACCAAGGTATCTACGCGCATCCGGTTGGACGGAGCCAGTGTTTCCGGAGGTGAACGTGAAGAAAGCGTTAAGGGTTATATACGAAAACAATGTCCTTCGTTTCAAAGAGGGCCGTATGGGTGCCGTAAACGGTTACGTTACCGGCGAACGCGGCCACGTAGACACAACCGCCGTACAAAGCGAGGAAGTGTGGACTGGAGTCACTTATGGATTAGCCGCCCTTATGATATATGAAGGTGCGTATTACTATTAAATCTGTTGTATTTTAGCTATTTGAACATCTATGAAAACAAATGTTTAACGAAAACGAACTAACTGACATTGTCAATGTTGGTATAATTCCCGCAAATTGCGAATACGCTGGAACCTTGTCTAAATAACACCTGACGTCACACGACATCATTTGAAAATAGAAAGTATCGCTAGCACAAAATGCAAGAGATAAATTATTTATGAATTATTGAAATATTTATGAATCATCCCTAAAATATTGTTATAATTATTAATTAGCTTTTAGTTTATTACACGTATTGTCGAACATGGCCAATTTGTATGTTAATATTAAAGTATATGAAAAGCAAAAAAGAAAAATGGTAAAATAACATTACATCTAGTTTGTAACGTAAACTGGAAAATCTGAGAAGAGAACGATTGTTTAAAACATCGCCAAATATAATTTTGAAATGAGAGACATAAGATATTTATTTTTATTGATATCAGATTACTTATTTTTAGTTAACCATAAGAAGTAACAACAAAACTCAACAATAACAATCGAAAACAACAAAAACTATAAGAAAAATTGTTTGAGATCTCGACACAACCAAACTCAATAAATGTAATCGTCAACCACTATTTATATGCTTACGGTACTGATTATTGAACACAATTACGTCACCAAAATGGTGGCCAGGTGCATTAGCAATTTGCGGGGATTATATACGAAATAATTATGTCAGCAATAAAAAAGTCGAATTCTCCGCCGTTTACAGCAATTATATTATCTCTGTGTGCGTTCTGAAATAAACTTCATTAATATCGGCTTTTTTTTTCTAATGAAATGAATCATAATCCTAGAGCCATAACTGAATCATAGGGTAAATATCAATTAACTTTACACTCGATTGCCCGACGCGTAACAGGAGGGTATTGTCGTGTTCAGTTATATTCACCAATTAGAAATAGTGTTGTTAGAAATGTTCTATTTCTCAATTTCGCGTAGTAATATACTAACCAGTATCCTTACTTTTGTGCATAGTTCTATTATTGAGAAGTCTACGGAATCTACCACCATACAGCCAATATGTCTGTAGATTCTTTTATTTCTATTAGATTGTGCATGTAATATATTTCAATATATAAAACAAAGTCTTTGTGTGAACGCGATACTTAATTTTGGTTTAAACCATAGGAATATTCTCAGTCCAGTTATGATTTTTCATTTTCACTGATGCTGTTCATAAGGTATGTTTCTGATGATTAAAGTTAATATAAATCGGCTGAAGAAGATGTGTTCGTAACTAGTTATAATTTGATTTCTTATTGTATTCACGGTTCACCGTCATGTCCCGTCCACGTGTATGGCCCAATGCGTATTGGTGGCGTATAGCACGGATATCCTTAATGGATAAAACCAATCCATCCAACTAGACCCGCGTGACGGTCCCAATGAGAATTGATAAAGCCAAAGCACAGGTATTCTTAATGGATTTAACCCAAATACGCCTGCCACTGGGCCGCCGGATTACTGATTAATAGGCCCGCTTGATTACTGATTAATAGGCCCGCTTGATCGTCCTCAGGTCTCATCCGATTACCAGCCTTTGCGATCATCGCTTAACCTCCGCAATCACATATCAAACGCGCTAACCTAGTGGTTATAAATCTTGATGATAAGTTTGGGCTTTGATTATTTTTTTATTATCATTCATATTTATGATTTTTTTTTTTAATATTGATAAGTACCTTATTAACTTAGGAGACAATCACAAGGGTTCTCCAAAGTTAATAAGGTACTTATGGATATATAATATTGCACTTTGCCCGTTTACCGAGAAATGGTCAAATTATGATATATATATTTTTTTTGTAGTTTTGCACGTTTTCATATCTATTTTAATGTGGATGGTTACATTTTGTGGCAACTTATGGTGTATATATCTTTGAACTTGACTGTACATAAATAATTTTGACCTGTTTTATTTTAGATATGCACGAGGAAGCGTTCATAACCGCTGGCGGTTTGAATAAAACACTACTACAAATGGGTTTATTATTCGAAACTCCTGAAGCTCTACTGGAAAATGGTCACCATAGGTCCATAGCATATATGAGACCGTTGTCCATATGGGCCATGTACCAGGCTATAGTCGCTCGGCCCCCGCCCCCCGCGCCTTTAGCCAATGGACAAGTGAATAATACCAAAGAGAAAACAAAATTGTGATCACACCATATTGCTTTTGTTTTATTTTTTACATTTTATTATTTAGGATTATAGTATTTATTATTAGACGGATAATTCAATTTTTGCAATATTACACGGTGGTGTCTAAACACGATGTGTAATTATGGTTTTTAGATTCTCCGGTTTTTAGGGCTTTCGACAAGGAATTTTGTAATTTATTCGCGTCTGTCTCTCTGTCCGTGAATGATTTCAAAGATTCATAGTATTAGTAAACAATAGTCAATAAACTTATAAAATGTGTTTATTATATATTAAAAAGGAGAAAAATTGTACAAGTTCTGTTCCAGTTACTTAAAGTAAATGTCGTTGATTGATAGCGGTAAGTAGTGGGTACCGATGCCTCCCTTTTTTTCAAATCTTGCCTAATATTAAAAAAATAAATGTAAACTGTTATTGTAGCAAGTCAACGGCTACAAACAATTATTATTTCACACCTATCAATAATTGATGTCCATACAGTTTCATTTCGATTGGCAAATAAACAAAGGATATCCAAGGGATTGAATAGGTTTTTTCAAAATATGTATATATTTGGTATAGTATTTTGGTAAATAGTGTACTATTTATTTACTGGCACATCTCTCCGACTAATATAAAGTTTATGGTTACTTAGGGGGCGTCCATAAATTACGTGAGGTGATTTTTCAAATTTTCTGACCCTCCCTCCCCCCCTGGTCAGATGTCGTGAGATTTTATTCAATCCCCTCCCCCATCCCCAAATCTCACGTGAGATTTTTCAAAATGTGGGTTTCTTATTTAAACACGTTGGATTTTTTTAATAAAAAGAAAAAAATAATAATTCGCTTCGTACTTTTATTTACTACTAGTTAGAGACTAGTAATCAATATTGCTCGCATTCATCGAGTCACACGTTCAGCTGACAGTGGCGCGAAAACAAAGGACGGGCTACATTGTACCGTAAATTCAAATTAAATTGAGCTATTTGGTATAAAACGAGTACCTATAGTGATTTGACAATCAGGAGTGATGTATAATGTCAAAGTACGAATGAAATTATTTTCTTTCCAACGAATTAGTGAATGATCTTAATCTTAGACTTGTCTCTCTATGAGGGATTCCCCGCACCGAGCCTTATTTTAAAATTGCGTGATATTTGCCGAGACCCCCCCCCCACTCTCCAACGTGAGATTAGATGAGATTTGACTCGACTCCCTCCCCCCCTTAAACATCTCACGTAATTTATGGACGCCCCCTTATTTATTGTCCATTATTAAGTCATTAAGTAAAAATCCTTGTACGCATTTAGTTTAGCTTTACAAAGTATTATGGTACCAATTAGCTTTTTAATAATATAAAGGTATTGGAATATATGAGTGAGTTTATAGGGGTAAAATTGTGGTGTTTGCTATTACAGGGCTCGTATTAATTTATGCTTTAAGCCCATTTGTAATGCAATTGTGATATTTTATGATAAAATTAGTTTTTTTTTTTTGTTAATGTAATAGTTCATTTCAATTTAGGTATCAATGGTTATACCAATGAAATTGCAACGAAAGTATCGTATTAGTTACTATGTAATTTGATAAATTATTATGTTCTATTGACATTTTTATTTTATTTGACATATCCTATTAATTAATATTATAAAGGCGAAAGTTTGTAAGTATGGATGTATGGATGTTTGTTACTCTTTCACGAAAAAACTACTGGACGGATTTGGATAAAACTTTACAGCAATATAGGTTATACATCAGAATAACACATAGGGTACTTTTTACTGGGAAAACTTCTCACTCCCACGGGATACCGACTTCCACGCGGACGAAGTCGCGGGCGTCCACTAGTATATAATAAAAATCTCTTGAATAAGGATGTTGTGAGCACAATAATTTGTGTCGTACTCACGTTATTAATTACAGTAAGATCCAACTAAAATGGCGATCTAATTTTAATAAACATAAGGTGTAAAATATATCGCATTATTTGTCCGACTCACTGGACAGGCCATAGTACATAGTACAATAGCGCGATACTTGAATCATTCTGATTGGCCAGGATTTATCACACTTCGATTATGCACCACATAAGTTGTATCTTACTGTAATATATAGTATATGTATAGTATAAGTTCCACTTAGTGGAGTGTGTAAAATAATAGTGTGGACAGGTAGATGCCAAATGAATGAAACGTAATTTTGGATTTATCGTTTATTTTGTCAAATTATGTACGTACATATATAAATGCATTTTTGGGACACGTTATTAAAAAAATATTTAAAATATAATGGTTGTTTTTTTCACATTACAATTATTTCTATACACTAAGTTTCGATATTGGGCTAATATGATATTATATTCCATTTTGTACTATTGTAAATTGAATACGTATAGTTCATCGTGTTAATAAATAAAAATGAAAAATAATAGATTCTATTTACAAAATATTTACATAAAAAAATATTTTCAGTCTTAAATATTATCGCCGAATGTCGCGAATGTCATACAAAGCTCTCTGCAGTTTGACAGCTTGTAAAAAAATTACGACCTACACATCAATCATAAAGACAAAAGAATCCAGTGCTATAAAGATTTTATGAATGCTACTATTAACTTGGCATTACGTTTATATCTTGCCATTGTGGAAAATTGACAGTATTTTTGGGAAAACACATTTTGTTTCACTACCGTCAATCCATCCTGACTTTCAAATCGTCGTTGGCGTTAACATAAGAATAACATATTAGACCGACTCCACTCATAAGTAAAGCATTGTAATATAAGCTTTAGAGTATGTTCATAAGGTGCAATTTGTAACTTGTTTACATTAAAACATTTTTATTGCGTTTTATTCACATTTTCATTCTTTTATGGTACATGTAAAATTTTAATTTTGTTTCATAAGCGATAGTAATAATCTTTAGAATGATTTTTAGCATATGCCGTGCGTTACACAATTTTAAATTCAAAATGTGACTGCCAAATAAAGTTCATTTTGCTGTAACAGTATAGTCTATAAATGCAGGGTACGCGAAAAATGTCCTTGGAGACGAGTCTTTCCAGGGTATGTTCCGATATACACTGCGACCACTGAACAGTATGACGTCAATTTAGTATACTGGAAGCCCGTTCCTTTATAGCTAGTTATACTGGTGACTTTTTAAAACGGAACGCAGTCCAGTATACTGTTAATCCTATTTTTTGGCGCCATTTTCAAATTTGTTAATGCAAAGTGAATAATAAATATAAAGATTCCCTCTTTTCAAAAGAAAATTGGAAAATTGTATAAAAAATTATTTATCAATTAAATCCATCTTATAAATAAACGTAAGTATTTTTTTTTGTTTATTTAGAAACTTATCATTTTCTGATTCTGTTTCGACTGATCACGTGATCAAAAGCACTGCGAGCACCATACCTCGAGATCTCCAGTGCTCACAGTACAAATATGGCGGCAATTTATGACGTCATAAATTTCCCTAGGGTACTGTAGCAGTGTACTGGCAGTCCATAACGGAACGGATTTTTTAGCAGTAAGACCACTGCGCAGTGCTCGCAGTGTATATCGGAACATACCCATAATTTGTTAAGATGGAATGGTCATAAGGTATACTGTGGGTTATGTGTGCGTCGCAGATATATTCATGTAGTGATGTGCGCCGTCGCGGTCGTCGCATCTGTTTTTGTCGCGTGGGAAGTTCATACGCAAGTGCGTGCTCTGTGCGTCCGCGTCGCAGTCGAGACGTTCGCGCGACGCAGACGTTTCTCGCTCCACGATCGTCGCCATGTGGTGGCTCCTTAAAAAATGATAAAAGATTCTGTTTATAGTTTAAACGGTCCACAACATCCGGGTTGTTATTTTTTTTCCAATATAATTATATACATATGTTAAATCTTTTGGTTCATTTAGTTCAATTTAATTTTGATATTGAATTATACTAAATTATCTGATTTCCACAAGTTAGTTTTATAATTCGTTTCACTAATTCTCCTCAATAGTCAATTGTCCTGAATAGTACCATTTTAAATTCTAATAGAAAATAATTTTATGTTTAATCGACTTCATAATTTTGTCTCTTAATAATTCTTCAAACATGTAATAAAGAAAAGATAATTTAAGTTATTGCCACCTGAGAAGGCGTGACGTAAAAGCCTAAATATAATACAATGCAATTACAAGACAAGACTGCAATCGTAAAGATTTCTAGTGGGAATTTTATTAAACACTCGGACTTTCAGGAACATTGGTGCTTTTGGGCGGCACTGCCTTATATGAACACATAGACAGACGATATATTTATTTTACGATAGATTATAAAACATCTTGACAATAAGTTGACAAGAACTGGAGTTTTTAGATAACTAACCTGGCCTCGTGTTTAGGGTGTCCAAAGGTAGTAAATTGCGGACATCCGTTGAGTGGGCGCGGCGGCGGCGGAATCAGGTAGTCATCCAGTCGGCCGTCGTCACACGAGTGCATTGTTAGGGTGCTTGATGATATCTGGTGGTAATTGTAATATAAGCATAGCATGAAATATTGTCGAGTTTGTATCGATTACAAACGTCAAATGTTTGATACTTTCATAACGCCATCAGCCTCCGAAAAGGACATTTATCTATTTTTATCGATACAAATTTTGTTTAGATACATATTACGGTCAGTTAAAACTTAAATATACATTTGATGGATTAGTAGGTATAACAAAATAAAATTCAACGAAATTTATAAAATAATCAATTATTACCATGATATTAACTGATTGGTAAACCCTCAGTCTTAGACTTCACTTTGAGAGTCTGGGTCTAACTAACGAAGGAGTTTTTGAAGAAAATGCAACTTACTATGCTTGCGATTGATCTCGCTTTGTCGTCATGTTCAGACTGTACACTATTGGTCTCTGCAACGCTTCCCCCACTAACTGTACTCAAACGGCCAGACGATGATGAACCTATAAAAACGTGCGATTTTGAGATATACATACAGAATAAACAATGCAATACAAATTTTACGTGCGTTAAATTTTTTTATGCTTAGCTTTGATCATATACCTATGTCGTTTAATTAGGTATCTATTTAAATAATATACGAAAAATGTGCTGGGAACTTACTGTCGCTCATGCTGCTATTTGGTCTAGTGTTACCATTCCGTTTTTCTATAGCGCCGTTACTTATGTCATGATCTGAAACATAATTTTACAACATTGAAGCTCTGCGTTATTATATTAACTAATAGCATGTTGATCAAATAGCAGATTCAGCTTACGTTTATTTTTATTCTTCGTAAATATTTTCCTAACTCTTTCAAACGGGGTCGGCCTTTTCATATTGTCTTTGATCTTCTGTTGGATTTTGTCGTACTCCTCTCTCATTTTATTTAATTGCTCCTGTTTCTCTTTCATCGACTGTTGTGTTTCATTTCTGTTTCTCCATTCCATCACTAATTTTTCTACTTCAGATATTGTGAATACGTTGTTCTTGAAGTCGTTAATAATTTCAGCTAACTCTTCCTGTCCGGTCAATGGGCAAGTTTCTTTGCCAGATTTTACGCTACCATTGCTCCGGATGTCTTTGGCATTCAAATTGATTTGGCTTATATCACTAGTAGGAGTTTCGATAACAAATGTTTTTGACTCCTCGGTGGGGGAATAAAGGAATATATCCGATTGCTGCGGCATCAAACGGGAACTATTTGCGTATAAGTTATTTGGTTTGAATTTAGGGCTTTCTACTTTTATGTTAGAGGGTTGGACTAGGTAGTCATGTTCTATGGCTTGTTGGATCCTCTCTGCCGTGTCATCGAATGGTAACTCGTTTTGGTAAAATTGCTCCTTGACTTTTGGTAACTTTAGTGTCGGTCGTTTCTTTTCTTGTTTTGGAACTTCAGTGTTTTCTTCTAGATTCTGGGTGCAAGCGTCGCTGAACGGATCACTCGATTGCTCCGTCGTATTAGCCACGGTTTCTTCACAAGCAGGAGAATCTACGGTATCGCATGATTCAACTATACATAAATCTTCCTGTTTATTTTCGTTTTGCTCGTCTTCTTTGTCGTTGTCTGACATATTTTTCAAATAGTAGTACATGTTAGAGAATTCGTTTATTTTCTGAAAAAATAACAAAGAAGTAAAATTTGGAACATCGAACAGGTGATAGATGAAATTTTGTGAAGTGGTAAACTTACGAGATGGTCTGAAAGAACATCGGCAAGTTTGTAATGCTTGTGATCCCTTGCTAAATCGGCCGGAGTACGATGCCTCACATTGCGGAGGGCTACAGCGGCGCCACCTCCCGGACACTCGAGTAGTTGCCAACAAACCCTCTCTAGGCCAAACCTGGCGGCCCAGTGCAAAAGAGTTGGATACTCCTCGCCACCTGAAAAGAAGAGATCGACATCAGAATGCTAGTACTCATTATCGTGTAAACGACTAGTAAATAAAAAAACTACTAGAGAAATTCACAATAGCAATTCAAATATCGTTCTTTGATTTCCACACAGGGTTTGATTTTCGGTAGGATCAACGTAGAAAACGATATTTTCGATAGACAATAGAAAAAAACGATAGAAAAAAAAATATCGTCAGTTATTTTTTATATCAAAAGATCACTCACTCGATATGTCTGCCTTGGGATTGAATTGCTCATTGGAAGCCAGAAGGTTGAAATGCGGCGGGATATTCTTTTGAAAAGCGTTCAACATCCAACTATCGAGCTGCTCTCTGCTTGTAGTTTTAAAGCCTAGTGTCTAAATAAAAACAAAATATATTGAGTCGTTATTAATATCACAAACGTTATAAAATTAGAAGAAGAAGAAAGCGGTCCTATTTCTTTTTATGGATTATATTGAAAATAGTTTAAATAATAAACATGCTATAAACGTAAATGGTCTAATTATAAAAAGAAAACTAATGTTAGTACCGGTTTAAACGATTATTCGACCAAAATAAATTCGTCTCAATTTGACGTTTTCTATTCTGTTATTATCAACTTGCTTTAGGTGGTCAATAGTTTAAACCAAGTTACTAACTTTAGTCCTCGTTTCATTATAAGACTGAAAATTTTACAACAGAATCAATGATAATAATATACCTGACACATAAACTCCAAGGGATGGTCTGAGGCTCGAAGTAATTGGTCTAGCTCTCTGAGGCGACTTTCACATTTGATCTGTCGCCTTCCCAACGACTGACCATTCTTACTGACTCTAACCCACACCAGCATAGACACTTCTAAGCACGATTCTGTTAAAAAAATGAAATTAGATATTAAATTAATTTAATAGTTTAAATGGGAAATTTTGTCCTTTCGTATAGCAATAGAAAGTTCAATGTTCTTATCGTGAGTGTAAGATTTTGTACAGTCAACATCACGTCAGGTTATACAAAAATGTCAAATTTCTCCACTCTATTTTAAACCTTGTTACATTAAGCGAAAAATACTAAATGAATTGCGGTAAATTTGACATAAAGTGGCAGTCTGACCCAGCTATCTCTAGCTCCAAAACTCATAGATACACATCTATGAGTTTAAAAGGTGAATGCACTACTTTTTTATTATACATTTTTGGTTAGAAATGTCTGTAGAAGTCTTTCATTTAAAAAAACTAACCAATGACAAGTACAATGGATAGTAAAAGCTAAAAGGTGTGTACGTTTAGCTTTACATAAAGTGCACGAAATCTTATAGGGACGAAATTAATGTTTTAGTTTTACGCTTTTATGTAGGATCTATGAGTATAAGTACCTACACACGGCAGCCTATTACAATTTAAATTGTAATTTCAAATATTTGATTTTGAACAAATTAAGGTTTAAATTCAATGAAAGAAATAAAAACAAATGCATTATTTATTACTTATTTAGATAGTCGCTCGTAGATGATCAAATTACACATTACAAATGTAAATAAGAGGTAACTTTTTATGGTTTTATCATAAATTAGAAGTCTTTGTTTGTTTTATCGAACGTTCATGAGTTCGTGACATTTCTAGTTTGGCGGCGCTCTTATCAATTATTCCTTTGACCTGATGACGCCATACATATTAGGAACTAGGAAGAACCCGAGAGAATTGTAAATACATAATAGATATAATAGTTTCCCATACGATCAATCGTAAGTAAGATAGTGAATCATTTCGAATTTTCATTCCTTTATAGAAATGGATAAAAATAATAAACTCTAAGATACTTGTTGGAGTGTTTATTATCATTTAAAGTAAAAGGGGTAAAAACTCGGAGTGTGTGCCTATTACCCGACTGCGCAACGCAAGGAAGGGTAATGTGTTTATTTTATGGAGGTTTCGACGTTGATTAATTTTAAGCAATTAACTTGTGCTACTCACGTTGTTGGATTCTGATTATAACAGCTAAGAAAGATTTATAAGGATAAATAAAGGTATTGTTTATACAAGTACGGTTTTTTGCAATTTTTTTATTGCCATAAGAACCCGCGGACTTCGACGAACATTAAAAAAATGCCAAATACATTCAGCTCAAAAAAGTAAAAATTGCTAAACGCAAAAAACGACGATAGTTTTGCTTTATGGTTGATTAATCCATGCTCACCTGGAATATCAAATTGTAACGTGTAAGGGTTCCTCTTCTTGAATGTGGGTATCTGTATGACTTCGCCTTTTTTGTCTACCATTATCTTAATGCTGTCCTCTTCCCTAATGGGGTCGTTGAGGAGCGCTATCACTCGACTCTGGCCCTGTACGCAGTAATTACAACTTCTAAAATAGTGTCATTGTCCCGTAATATAAAATCAGATCGTTATAAAGTATTTATGTGATTATCAGATAAATATTGTCGTTAAAAAGATGCTTTTGTGGTTTTTGACTCATTCATTTGGATATTTAAAACAATAGACTATTTTTTTACTAATTAAAGCAATATTTAGCATCCCTTAGCGATTTTGTCTATCGTTGAGAGTATTACTCAGTGGCGTAGCTAGGTAACCTAGGGCCCTGGGGCAAATAAAAAAAATGGGGCCCACTGCTATCAAAATTGGTAAGGTTTTTTGAAGTAAAATCATTAAATATACAAATACTTTAAAAATGCTAAGCAACTTTATCTTTAACTCTTTTTCGTGCATGGGCAGGTAATAAAACTATTAAACACTAACAACATAAATTACAATTATTTTGATACTTGTTGTAGGTATTGGGCAATTAAACGAAATAGAAAAGATTCAAGGGTTTATTATATATTTATTTATTCATAGATACGTTGCACCAGCTTACTGTTATTTAACCTATCGCCATGCAAGCTATTTACAAAAAATATCTAAAATACTTGTCAATTTTGGGCAATGTTTGTTCACTTTCTTCTCTTTCTTGGCATTGTTTGCGTTTAAATGCACCACTGGGTTTTTTGTCCTGTTTTCTAATTTATTTATGTTTGAACATAAATTAATTACTTATCGCATGTGACTTGTATTTTGCACGGTATTTTGAGTTATATAGTGAGTAGCCGAAATCTATCGATTTCTTAACGTAACTATGTATTCGTACTATAATCAAATAAAATTGAACTTTTGTATGGACCAGTACAAAAAATTTATTGACATACGCTTACTTACTCCTGATACATTAACTTTTTAACCATTCTCGAAAAAAATCTTGACTCGAAGTTCACAATCGTGAATCACAAAAAACGCATATCGATAAATAATAATATGCAGATATTGATATCCGACAAATTGATGAAAACATTAATAACACTGTCAACCCACACAAATAATTTAGGGGAATTCCCTTTTAATAACTTTAGAATTTCTCACAACTGAGTTGCCATGATTAAACTCGAGTTGTCACCTGTCATATTTATTTTGAAAATGGGAGAAATTTTCAAAAGTTGAGTTCGATTGAGATTTTCTGGTAAAGATTCGAGGGCCCCCTGAGCTTGAGGGCCCCGGGGCACTGCCCCGCCTAGCCCCTTAGTAGCTACGCCACTGGTATTACTAAAGAGTAAATGATTCCTATCAATCAGAAGAATAGCACGGAATATGCCATGAACGGAATAAAGCCCCAATAAAAAGGTATTTTTAATTTCTGACTCTATAACAATTTTTATCATTTATAATAGTGACCGACCGATATCGTTATAAAGTAGATGAAAATTATCAAATATTCAATATCATACCTTTCTAAATTACTCTTTATATAATAAAATAATAAACTCATACAGATTTTCTGCACCTATTTTAAATAAACATTTTTCTTTCCAATTAAGGACCATCTCCTCCTTTCTACCTCTACTTATTTATTTATCAATTCACATTATATAAAATATAATTACACTCGCAAAGCAATTGAAAATCGTTGAAGTGGCCTCATTAATTACTAAAGCTTTATTTGTTTTTACACGATCATTAGCTTTATGAGCTCTGCTGTTTGTCATTTTACAAGCGTAATTAAAGATTAATCATCATATTCTTAGCAACTCTCTATTATCAACTTACGATTTTAACTTTCTTGGGTACGATAGAGAAGCTGGTTCGGTCAGTAGCCGTGTCTTTACAATCTTTAGTCCTCAGGATCCCAACCGCTGCAGTGAGGAACGTATCCACAAACGACGTATCTTTTTCACGCACGGTCATCATTTGCCATTGGTCTATGGTGGGGTATTCTATGACAGAATTAACTTTATTAATCAAATACAACATTAACATATTTTAAAATGGCAATATTATTTTTGTTTTCGGTGAAAAAGAAACATTGGCATGTCAGAATATTCAATACCTTACTTATTAATTATACAATATATGTCAAATATGTCAATGAATTTGCAATAATAATCAAAATAATCACAACAGGAAATAATAAAATTAAGATAAAAATAATTACATAAATTAATTAAATTTACATTACAAATTAAAATTTGATTGTCTTGATTTTTTGATTGTCAAAAAATCATATACTTTATAAAATTGATTAGATTAAAAAATTATAATTACAATTTAATTTTTTTTTAATTGTAACTCCGTAATATTTATAGGCAGCTTATTAGAAAAATATATATTTAGAATATATTTATAAAAATATATTATAATAGTATGTGCCATGAAACGAGCCCTGACACTTTGTTATGACCTCCTTTAAATGTAATAAGACATATATGCATCTGTGAAGCATCATCAATCAATGCAATTGCATCTTAATTAAGAGTTCATTTTAAAGTTAACAATCCATAGAAGAAAGACTCTACAATGATTAAACAAATCTTTTAGGGACTATAGTTGTCCATATACTAAATTATGATAGACGTATATGTTCCTATAATATGATAGATTTATGTCTATCATTGCACTTAACTATTTTATCGGCATACATGTTGAAATTACCTTCACAATGATTAGCTACAACATGATCCCTTTCCACACCGAGTAGCATGACTAGGACTTTGTCGACTTTGAACAGGCCTTCACTGTAGCCTTCTTTCTTCATGTCAGTAATTTTCGATGCGAGGCTGGGGCATAGAATAACTATTTGTAACTGTGCCTTCGCCAGCTTTTCCAGTTTTTCATGAGATTCGCATGACATAAGCTCTTCTACTGTTACTGGTGTCACTCTGAAAATATTTTTTATTAGTAGGTATACTTTACGAGAGTAAATTTCATGACGAAATACGTTGAGTTGTGTATGATATGATAAGAGTAATTAAAAGCCTGATACATGGAAATGTTATGGTTGAAAAGAAACTTTAATTTTATGCTATGAAGTGATTCATATTCAATTTTAAAATATCTCAAGTCCAGCATAAGAAGCAGTCCGTAGAGGTAAGTAAGTAGTAAAAGTATATTTAAAAAGAAACTCATCGAGATAAGTAAAGAGCCAGGTTTTTAAGAAATTATAAAGCTAGTGAAGATATCTTCTCCGATTGCGATGCATGTGTAATTCGCTGATGTAAGTTACACCAATTTTATTGAGTACCTGTAGTGATGTCTCGCTCTCTGTGACATAATTTTATCGAAGCTTGCTACTAAGTAGTCTGACCACAATTTGCTCTCAGGGGAAGCAGAGCTCCACAATATAGCGATGTCTTCCATTTCTGGAACAAATAAAATATAAAATGAAAGGAAGGGAGAAAATTTCACAAACATTCCTCAACTTTATCACAGAAAATTTTTAATTTCTACTAAGGTCTTACTTTTATATTAAAATTGCAAACAACGTTTAAACTTTTTCTCTTTTGGATGTTAGATTATGAAAAGTTGAAGATAAAGTTGAAATTAAATCGATGCAATATAAGCGACGCGGTATCATTGTGTATTATAATTCAAAAGCTCTTTTAGCCGAAACGTCAATCAAATATGAATGCCAATACAAATTATATGGTTCCCAGAAAGGATGTGTTGTCAAGGGATAATCAAGACATGAACGATGTCGTTCACTTGATATCGGATAAGGGTCATTGGCTGGAACGATGTTCACGGCTCTTAAACACAAACGGTTATATACAAAACACTCGCCTAATGCTTTAATCCCTTTATCAGATTATAGACAGCTCATTAAATAAATCTCAATGAAACTAGCTATGTATACTACTTATTATTTTAAAAACCTGCTAAAGACCACCCAGATGTATCAGTCAAATCAATCTAACTAGAACTAGAAACTAGAACAACTGAGACAATCTATCCCTTGATATACAGTTTCTGAGCCGAATTTTTGCTGATCCGCAGATTTCTTTTTATATAAAACATTGTATTACAATATCTAATATAAAACTAATAGATATCTGATTCCAGAAATATAGGCTTAGTTGTAGTCTGGAAAATTACGATAACATACGTTACATCTTTCATACGTTTCGATTCATTTACAGGTTTTGTGTTCTCTGGACTAGGCGACTAATATTTCAGTCTAGAGAACAATTAATAATGTAATAATTTTCAAAGGTTCACTCGACAGAAGTGTTTCGAAGTCGATTTCATTTAATACGCTATTTAAGTTTAACAAAACGTATGAAAAATATCAACGTTTTTCTAACGGGTCGTAACTTACGTCCCGTTAGCTTAGTAACTTTTCGAAGGCAGCATCCCATCTCTACTTTAATTTCAGCTGCAGCTATTGCAACTTTCCACTTCAGCCGACATTCCTTAATGCTATTACTCATGAAGCACTCGAGTTAATTAATTTAACTGTAGCCAATGACTAACAAGTGTAATGCGTTTTAAAATTAGACTAACAATTTATGGAAGTACCTTTTGCCTACACGCTATTGAGCAATATCTCGGCCACTTTTTAATGGTACTAATTGAAGGAATACCGGATACATTTGTTTACTTGACTAGGAACACCAGAGCACTTTCATTCAGTAGGTATTACTAGAAAGGGAAAGTATCAGTGGGACCTACGTGTTTTATTATGGTAAAAAAATAATAGTTTAAATAATAGAGGAAAGTAACCAAAAATGAAAAATTACTTTCTTTATTATTTATTATAAAAATTTTGATACACTATGAATTAAGCCAAGCAAATCCGTATGCCGATGGCGAATTTCCTGGACTTATTGACAATTTATATATTTTTTTATATTCAAATATAAAGGGACCAACGCATAATACGTGGGACTCAGTAATTTTCACTCTCCATATTTACCATAACATTGGCAACGGTAAAAGTGTTCCAAAAACATACACATATTCCCTTTCAAGTACCTAACACGGATAAAACCATACGTGTGCCGTTAAATTTTTTTATTGCAGCCAACGCTGCGCATACGCAGCGGTTGCTTACAAAATATGCTATGCACCGCGCGCGCCGGAAACTCATACGGATTTATACTTACCCACCTCTGCCGCCAAATGAAGACCTGACTAAATGTAATATCCGTTTCCTAAATAGACAAACGTGTATGGCGTTGCTCGGAATAGCTATGCCCGATTAGATGCAACGAACGCGAGCGCAGGTTGAATAACGATTCTGGACCGTTGTCGTTATGTTATCAAAATATCAAAATTAAATTGAAAATTCAGCAAGTAAAATTTTGATATTTAAAAATTTTTGCCTCAATCAGATAACTACTTTGAGATGAAATTTTCGAAGAAGTTTACATTGTTACATGACTATCACGTTTTGTATGCTCGATTGACTCTCTTCTTATATTTGTGCAGATATTTAGGTATATATCAAAGATAATTAGTAATGCTCTTATAAAGTTTTATTTAGATAAAGCTATATAAGAGCCATATACGGATATAGCGTTCTCACGCGTTTAAAAACACTTAATAAAAGAAATGTAAAATTCAATCAAATTCCCATAAATAGTTTTATGCAAATTCTTAGGTATATTAAACAATTTATCAATAAGACACATGGTAAAAGTGTACTTCATAAAGTCAATCATAAATCCACGTACGTATAATAAATATTCATTTATGCTTTTACAATTTTGGATACGGCGTGTGGCCTAATATTACACACGTATAAATAACTCTTAAAATAAGTCCAGCCCTTGTTATGGTTGGCTGAGTTAAATGGAAGTAATGTCCGCATATGAGAGGGTGGGTTTAAGACCTCCTAACTTAGCCCCTTCAAAGTTAATTTTAAGACGTAACTATTTTTGGAGACGGAAACTTTATATAGTATACTTTTTTAAAGTAACCGGATGAATTTGTTTAGTAATGTTTGAGTATAATTGAAGCTTATAATTGAATTATTTGAATTCATATTTTGCTTTTGTGACCTAATATGCTGAATAAATGCTGCTTAACCATCCATAATGAAGGCCTGAGCTCTTGCGGTGGGGAATTAAAAGAGCTGATGATGATAAAATGCTGCTTATTTAATTTGTTTTAAATAAGTAAAAGAAAATATTTGGAATTCATAGAAACGGTAACTTTGTAAATCACAGGCAACACATATTTTAGTACTATGATCTTTGTTTCGTATGTTAATAAATCCGATTAGTAATAATCGGCTTGTGAGTAATATTATTAAAGGTAGAGAAAACGAGATGAAATCAATGGGCTCTTAAATGAGACCGAGACAAATGAAATTGTATTTCGCGAAATAGAGCGTGAAGAATATATTTTTAATCAACGTTTTGTCACAGCACATTCAATTAATGTAAAATATCTCAACATAACACATCGGTTACATAGCGCCTCATACATTTATCAATAATAAGAAAATACAATTACCTAGGTCCGAATTTTCGCCCGATCAAAGTACTCTTAGCACACATACGTGACGTAGCTTCCTTTATACTTATAAAATAAATATTAGACAACATCATTTACATTACATGGATTCAAAATTAAAGTGGAGACACTTGTATTATGAAAATTCAAAACGACGCAGATATCACAATATTCAGATCTGAAATAATATAGAAAAGTTAATTTTTTACATTGATACTACCGGGATTCAAGCACGAGACCTCAGAGATGACAGCATCTTCAGACCGACGTGTAAGCAACTCAGCTTTTATAGTAAGTTACATACAATACATTATACAGATACCGCCAGTCTCTTCGGTAGTAAATTGGGACATGGTTTTACCGCGTTTAGCTTTCGGTTCAGTGGGCCCCTTTGAAGCGGAGCGGCTGAAACACTGCACTTTCCTACATCAAACCTGACAGCGGCCGAGCTTTTTGATCTGACGTAACTATAAGAATAAGATTTGTCGATAGCATAGCAAGTTTTATGTCCTATATCGCTTAGCTCATAGAACAGAGAAAAGATCTTTTAACTCATAATATAAATTTATATTATTTTTTTATTATTAATAAAGGCCCTATTACATTTCGAATGTAATTTTTGCGTAAAATGATAATAGCGTTCTTGATCTCGGAATCAAAAATATATTAATAATTTTGACTTAAGTATTTAGAAATTTTTGGCAAAATAATTCGCAGCGGCTTCGCTTGATGGCACTTTTTTGAGCCATCAAGCGAAAAAAGTGCTATCAAGCGAAGAGAAATGAAAGAAAAAATTTAAAATGGTATCTCGAATATAGTCGTAAAGGTCGTAGCGACCTCGAAGTTTTCAATTTCAAATATCATTTATTTAACTGTGGATTTCTGATATCTACTATAATATTATTAAACAAAATTTTACAAGAATAATGATTACTTTACAAGGAATAAAGATTCACAAATCATAAGCACAAAATTAAATATCTATTTCAATAAAAACGTTAAATATAACTGCAAAATACTACAAAATGCGATGCATCGGGCGGCCGAACTCAGTTTGTATGGCCGCGAAGCGAGTTTGCTTGTATTTGTACGGGCTCTTAATGTAGACACCTATTAATAAGTGATTTTAGTTAGTTTAAGTTTTTAGAACTAGTAAAATATTAAGGTTTACTAATTTACATGTGATCCTATTGACTTCCATTTAGAAATTTTTAACAAGCTTTTCTTTATCTGCCAGTATTTATATAAAAACATACATATGTATGTTCGTAAAATTTTGCAACTGAATTTTAAAGCAGTTGATCCACAATCGATCAAAATGAAATTCTGCATACGCGTTACACTATAATAAAGATCTAAAGCTATTATTTTTCCAAAAAATAAATATGGTAATATAAAGAGTTGTTTATGATATTTGATTTGCCAGTAAAATAAAAATAATATATAAACCTATAGTTGTAAAAAAATTATGTTATCGATCCCGGCTGCATTTGCAATTGTCAACACCCACCAAACCGCACTGAGCCCGTGTGGTAGGTCAAGGCCTCAGTCCTAGTGTGATGATGAAGACTGTCTGAACTAAACTAAAAAGAAAACCTAATTTTACATTGGCTTAAGATAATTCCATAGTCTTATGTAATCAACGGCATATAATTAATTACACTCCAGTAGACTAAAATATAAACAAATATTCTTATTTTATTTTCATAATTGAAAACACAGTTTCACAGGACAAAATTACTTAAATTTAGTCTAGTTTGTCCAAAACAGAAACCCTACCAAATTAACTTTTCTCTGAACTGATTAGTTGAAAAACAGTAATAACGTCGATAAATAATATACATAGAGCATACTTTATTAGAAGATCAAATGTTTGAGTTAGTGATGTTAACGATTGATGTAATGAATGAGTTATCTGAGTTAATGATCGCCACGTCAACAAATTAGTCAAGCTATTGCGCCATAGAACTAATAGCCAGAAATGGTGCTATCATAGAAAATTCACAGAATCCGATAGATTATATTGAAATAAACAGTTGCCAACGTAAATAAAAACTCATGTGAATCAAACCAGCTACCCACTGCCAAGATGATTCACGGCATGAAAATAAGCGTCTCTTTTTCTCAGGGTACTGCCAGACGGTTCTTAATAAATCATTCATTATGATATAGATTACGTTTTTATGTTCTGTGAGATTAATTAATGATCACATAAGTAGGTCGACGTTTACATTAAGTACCTAAATATTTTGATAAGAAAAATGTGGGATACCTACCTATGGGTATCTTATACACAAAATAAATAAAAATGCGTATTAAATATCAAATGAAAAGAAATTATACAGTGATGAGAGAGATGAACTATTTACAGAGATAGTTGTACAAAAAAGGGAAATAATTATCTAGAAAATAAATATGATTGAAAACAACATGAACAAGAATGCTATCGACTCTTGGGAAGCAATTTCCGGATAAGGACATTACAAACAAAGATATAAATCATCTTTATCTGATAACGAGACAACTGGTTAACAATAGAACCAAAATAGATCTGTCAATCATTACTAGACTCCTAATGGCGTATGTGGTCGATCGCTTGTTCAATTTTCGACTTTATGTAGTTATAAGCATCTTACTTATTAGTGATGATCATTCACTACAGCGCAACAATTACGTGATAAGACCAACATACTCAAATAGCTTTAAAATTAATTAGTTTAGGTTATAATAAATAATCGTTAATATTTAATGAATTGATTAAATAATACACATTTAAAGACTAATATTTGAAAATATTTCTGGAGCTCGATGGCGTAGTGGTTAGCTCGTTTAGTCTGTCATGCAAGTTAAGCAACTTTCTCAAGAGTCAGTCATAGAATGGGCGACAAATAATTCAAGCTCCTCAGTAGTTAGTAGGCACGTTAAGTCATTGGTTCCGGCTACGCCTGCAATCGTTTACACCCACTAATGGCCCGAGCTCTCTGAGCCGTCATGGTGGGTAATGCCCCAACTCTACTCGATTCGATGTCATATGTATAAAGGTAGGCCTGTATCATGCACATGACAGTCTGATGATGATGATGATGAAATAGCATTCTGTAAGATTTTATTAGCTAGGTTAGTCTCTCAGAATGCGAAATTTTAAATTCTGATAATTAATTATATTCAATCAATTTCCATTCACAATGCTTTACCCAAAAATATTCTTAATAAAGTAATATTCTTAAGTAGCTTTCGCCAGCGGCTGCGCCCGCGTGGTCCCTAGAAAAATGTTTAGTGGGATAAAAAGTATCCTATTATCTAAGTCAGCTGATACCTTATATGTATACTAAATTTCATTAAAATCCATTAAGTAGTTTCGGTGTGATTGACGGACAAACATCCAAACATTTAAATATCCAAACAAAGAAACTTTCACATTTATAATATTAATAGGATATTATAGGATGAAACTAAGTGGATTCACTTTGTCCCTGGCACCCTGAGATAAGTCTCGAATTCATGACCTTTCGCAATTCGGGCGACTGCTCTAACCACTTGTAACTTTTACGCTACTACATAGCGTATTTTCATCAATGTTTGACAATCTTTTTAAGCATTTTTCATATTCTAATACTTTGTTTGTTTTTAAAGGACTTTGAAAAATAAAGGAGGTGCTTCTCAATTCCTCGAGAGGCAAGAGGTAATGCTTTTTTTATATTTTTATTTGGCCATTATTTTGTGGCCAAGGTATCGTTTTTTTTTAATGATAGAATTTACTTGCAAAATAGTTACAAAAAAATTTCATCAAAATCTGTCCAGCTGTTTGGATAATAAATATCTATATTATGTTTTACTTATTGTTTTTGGGGAATATTTATTTATATTTATCTTAGAAAGTCGCACTTTTTCATATTTTTCTTCAATATTGGGGCAATCTTCTAGTTGCGAGATAAGAAGAAAAAGATCTCACCGACTTATTGGTGCTGTTATAGTAGAAAAGCTTATATTCTTTCCAAAAATTCAGTAGTTGATTGTTCTTTTTTTAGGTGAAATATGAAGAAGCATGATATTTATGTTTTCATAGTAATAATAATAGGTTTATTTTTATAAAACAGTGTAAAAAATGAAATATAGCTTTTAGAGACGATCTTTATAATATAATCTATAGTTATCAGTTTTAGCTAAATACAATAATTATATTTTTAAAAGAACACTTATTATTGCGAATCTCAAACGAAATTTCATGTTAAGACAAATAAATTGGATAATGGCGACTGCGTTTACTACTTTATGTCAATTTCTAAATGGTGAGGTCGGTATGATTAAATTATTTAATATCAGACAATCTCTAAATGTCTTATTTAGGGATTGTCTGATATTTAATTATTTAAGCAATACCTTCATATTTTATTAAAATAAAACGAAAACTCTCTATCCATCACCATCATTGGATGGCATTACTACCCTTAACAATACAGAAAAAAGCGTTATCTATATTGCCTCGATCTGATAATCGAATCCAGGAATTCTGTGTAGATAACCTCTCAACTAAGGAGGTCGTCTTTCGAACTATAAAGTCAGCAACATTAATATAATATACCACAGCCCTAACACTATAAGACGTAAACTCTCAGAAAACGCTTGATTACCTATTCCAAAGGGTGCGGATGACATAAAGCTCAAGTGTGACAATGTATCGGTCAGGTAAATGCCTCCATCTGTGGGAGCGATCCTCTACCAAGAACATAGAATAATACCAGGCGTTTCACACATTTATATTCTAGTTGCGACTACATTACGGGAGCTACTTCGATGCATGTAAATTATTCTATGTTTATTCAGCCATACGCGTCGACCTGCATAAATAATGTGTACTCAACAGACAATGTAAATGCACCCCAAATTATAGTGTAAACTTTACCTTTAAAAGAATAAGGAACAGGTTGCTTTACTTGACAATGTTTAGATTGTTAAATTAATTCCATTTGACATTGATTTTGAATAGGTTCGGACATCTTGGAAACACAAAGTGATGGGGTGACGATGCTGTAGATATGTAATAATAGATACGTAGGTATGAAAAATTCAATAAATATTTAAGCTCTCAATTATTGTGGATGACTAAAGTAATGGCTTAGTGAGTTCACTTTTAATGGGTTATGATATTATTATTCCCGTTAAAACTATCATATTACAGTTATACTTCATATACATTAGTGGGGAAAACGAACGTTAAAAGAATAATAAACCACTCATAAGAGCAGATAAGTAATGAACAAGCATCCAAATTAAGCATAAACAATAACATTATTGTCACTTTGGGTGCTTCCAACTAGTATAAGTATGAACTAATTAATCATCAGATTGAAAATATCAAATTATGCTTATACGCCTTTAATATCAAAATCACATTTATTTCAAAACTAGCATGTAATTCAAATTATGATTTAGTACTTATAAAAACTAATATTTCACGTCACCCAATAAACAATATACAAAATAATATACCAATTAAATATTCGATAACAACAAAAGCTTCCTGCGCGAAAAGCTTACAAAACTCACTTGTATCCATTGTCTCTACCCGTTCGTCCTTCATAGCGAAGTTGAGAATCTCCACTAGCTCGTGAACTAATCTTGTAACATTGCACAGAACTGCATGCGAGCACTGGAAAGCACTAAATCGTACAAGAGTCCTCGCGGCTGCGTCAAGGAGTGTCGGCTCGCGGTGCGCAGGCCGCCGAGTCGGGACAACTCACTGGCGTCAGGCAGCGCGCACGCACGCGCTTCGCATACTAAAACAACGTCGCGACAATAATCGCACTGTCGTCGCACGCCATCCCCGATGCCTAATCTCCGCAAACATATTTGGGACCTCGTGTAAATATTCCCGAGGCGTTATCGAACACCAAATAAGAGGTTGTAAACACTACACACGTCCTCAATGTATTCTGCCCGTGATGTTGGAGATACGCTTAATCGGCGAAACATTACGGTTCGTGAAAATTGATAAGCTTAAATACTTTTATTGGTTTTACCGATAGCTTTTCTAAAGTGCGTGGATTTTTCAAACTTGTTAAATCTTTGATACGATACTAATGTTCGCACCTTTTTCAACTGTCAGAAATGCTAGTCTTTGTTTAATTAATAAAACTTTCATCCTATTGAAATAATATAAATTAAGATTTTTATTTCTAAAATGTGGCTTATTATAAAAGAACAGCAACATAACATACATCTTCAAAAATGTATATAATATTAAAAAGCTTTGATAACTAAAGCTTTGATTTATAAATGCAGTAACTTTATCTGAACGAGTAGGTACATACTCGTACTTCTCCGAATTTTCAACTTAGATGAATCGCAATCAAAGGGACCGCGATTCGGATGCATTATAAAGGTCCAACTGCATTTGAGGGCAAAGGTCCATAGTGCAACGTTCTTGTATCGGTCCTACGTCTTGATTGTCTTGTTTATTGTCACTTATCAATATTAATTTCACTTCCACGTCCATATTGTTTCTTAATAATAGAATTTTAGTGCGTGAATTTCCTTTAGATAAACATTGATGATATCGAGCATCGTGGCGACATTATAAATCAATTTGTATTAAGAATATTATAAATCCAGTTGAGTAGAATAAGATTTTATGGAATCTTTCTATATTCAGAGAAATCTATTAAACTGAAAGAATATTCGCACAAGGCCGTATCTCATAATCATAACGCTCTTAAAGTTAGTCTTAACTTACCTTTAAAAGGAAAATTCTTTGGTCTTCTCCGCTTCACTTCATCATCACGCTGTGAGAATCTCGGTGGTGGCATTTTAGGTACTTCACTTGGGACTGTGGTAATCTCTCCCGCACCAGCACCTCCTGTGGCCAGATATCCTCCCACAGAATGCCTCCGACGACCTTGAAGTGGAATCGTGTAGAACACCTCTTCACGTTCTTGTGGACCCTCGGATGTTACCACTGTCGCACTTATTTTTCCTTTTCTGTGTTAAAAAAAATGTTTTATTTTATGTTAAGCTTTAATGGTAAAATTCGGTTCTGGGCTTTTTATTTTGATGAACTTTGAGACGGAGATCATTTGATACTGGGGAAGGATATATGAGTCGATATCTCACATTATAATCGATAAATCGAGTAAACTGCTCTCGAAGTTGTTTGTTATTTTTTACAAAAATATTAAATAAACCAAATGTAGCAATAGTTTGAACACATTAAATATAGCATGGACATTTGACAATGTCGCGGAAACTGATTAATGAAATTGTAGTGTTACTAACTTAATACGTGGTGCTGTAAAGGTATGCCTCATGTCACGTGGTGCACAATCACCAGGCCTCGGTTGTCCCTTCAAAAAGGCCTCAGCCTGTTCCGGCTCTCTCGCAGACAATGATCTGAGTAATGCTCTAAACTCTTTTCTCCTCGGGCTCTCCGGCTCTCGCCGTCGCGGAGAACCCAGAGGTCTGATGGAATCGTGCCAAAAGCGGCTCGGTGCAGAGCGAGAGCATGGTTCCGACGGCGGTGATTCCTCACTGACTGCACCATTTTTTTCCGGCAACGCGAAGTAAGATGGATTATCTGGAAAAAGAACGTTAATTTGTAAAATCACGATTGATGGTTTAACGGGTCAACTCGGAGCGCGCAGAAGACAAATGATCGTTTACCAAGAATCATGGCGTGCGCGGTGGACATAGCTTCGCAACTGTGCCTTACTAGAATTATTCAATAACGCCAATGAACTAACGGCTCTCCATTGCGTCCAGTGCGGGCCGAGTGGAGCAACCTACTTTTGAAAGCCGGAAAATACGAATTGAAGGCAATCGTCTAGTCCGCCCTAGTATTGCTGTGAGATGCGTGGTAGACGGAATGTTGGTATAAAACAAAAGAGGTCTAAATAATTTAGAAAACAATAGGACTTACAAACTCACACAAATTTGATTTCTTAAAATGATGTGATGTTTTTTGTATAAATTGTTGAACAGTTTTAGTTATGTAGATAAATAGGGTTTTGTAATTTTTAAGAAAATATTTCGAAAATATAATAATAAAATAGAGTCTAATGTTTGGTCACCATGAAAAGTAGAGTAAAGTTATAACAATCTTTTTGATTGCAAATATTTACTAAGGTACAAAGAAAACTGTCAAGATTATTGAAATACACAATTTTGTCGTTAAGTTGAAAGCCTCAACATGATTCGATAATAGTACAATAGTACATACTTAGGTGCCGAAACCATGGCCTAATAAATTGTTATTGCAATAAATAAAACTGCAACGCACCGTGAACATTTAACAATCTGAACCTTGACCGACCCCAATTATAAATCGCAGGCTGTACCAGCCTAAATAAAACTAAAACTAGATAACAATTTCACATAAAAGTTTTATTTTATGCAACGCATAATAAATTACATATTATTAACTTTCCATATACAGTCAGTATTACTTTTACCACAATTTAAAATAGTCATTAGATGTTTAGAGAGGAAAAAATGTTTTTTGTTCAATATCCGAAACCCGCATATGCTGAGTATTCTTACATTTAAGGGGTCGAGGGCGAAATAAAAGCCGTATCCCTGGGAACATGTGGTCTCGCATAAAAACATCTATCACACAATGGTGTCCAAGCAAAGTACCTACTCAGAGTAGTTTGTTACTATAATAGTACACTAATATTCGGTCGATGATATATTTGACAGTAATTAATTACTTATTAAATACGTTCACGTGCTCAATCGTGTTATTTGCGTAGATATTATCACACAAGCAGATTTATTTTTTGATTTGTATTAGTGTTAGGTCCTAGTTACTAAATACACGGAACTGTTCTTTTAAACAGTAGCAGCTTAAGCTAATATGTGGTAATAATATTTAGGTACAGTATTCAAGTCCAGTATAAATCCGAAGAATTTAAATAAAAATAAATAATTAAGTAGAATGAAATTCTACTGACATATTTCTATGTTTGTTGTTTCTATGCTTCGATAAGCAATAAAGTTTCAACAGAAATACACATATATATATATATTTATTACGTATACATAGGTATATTATAAAGAAACATTTCATCGTTTGTTTATATTGATTGAATAGGCTGCAAATCTACTGAACCGATTTTTTAAATTCTGTCAGCTTTCCGTAGAAAAGCTACATCATACGCGGATGACATATGTTATAATCGGATGACATATATATATATAACACGAGCGAAGTCGCGGGAAAACAGCGGGTATTATATAAAGGAAAAGTTGACAGAGTAACTGATCGTAATAAAGATTTTATTAGATTAAAAACCTCTATGGTGCGACATCGTTGTGCTTCACATCAAGTTAAAGTAAGTTTTATGTATATGTAGAATAAAAAGGTTAGACGTATATTGCTGAAATTTGGTATTAATGATGACATAAAGGTTTCCTAAGAATGAAATTTGAAAAATCCCACATCAAATGGGAATAAACAGTGATTTATATAGTATACAATACACGTGGGCGGAGAGCTAGTTATTATATTAAATTTAATTTTATAAGAAGACGTTTTCGAGAACTTTATTTATTTGTAAGTGATTAAGTTTCTCAAAAATCCATAAAAGCAAACTAACCAAAATGGAGAAACGAAATCATAGAATAGTTTCCGCGAGATGGACAATGTAAAATGGGTAGACAAAAAAAAAAGAGATCTGAAGATGACCTACCCAGGGGATAGAGAGCGGCTATAGCAGCATATCTAATAGCGGAGAAAGAGAGGAATGAGATCAACCGCAAGAGCCCTTTGACAAAATGGAACAACTTTTAAACGGTTTCATCGCGTTTGTATTGACGTTTCGGACCCTTTACAGGTTCCGTGTTCACATAAGACTAGGATGTTGATTGTCTACTTAATTAAGAGTATAGCTACCTTCAAAACAATACTATTGGATACAATCACAATACAAAAAAAATGAAAACATTTACATTAATTAGTTATTTTAAAAATACATTTCACTTATTTATTTACCCCTGGTTACTGTAATCTATCACCGATTACAAATTTGGGAGCCTTGTCCGAAAAGAACTGGCGAAACAAACTCCGATAAGAAAAGTGAATTGCTCACTTTGATTTATGATATTTACAGAATGAATTAACTTTATCTTTTGGTTTTGCAATGTGTGATCTGGATTGAGATTTTATTTGACAAACTACTAGATCCCAAGCCGGTGGTATATGCCAACTTTCATCTCTATTAAAATTCAAATCTTTTCAATTTCAATAGCCTAGCGTATTAATTTAGGGACGAACTTTTGTTTAGTCGCAAGTATTATTGGATTGTTAAATCTTATGTAATCCTTGGGTCCTCCAAACGCATGTTCATACCATGCAGATATATTTTCGCGCCTAAGCTTAAACGTCAGCTACATGTTCTTTAACGCGAGATCCTATACCGCTCTTTGTTTACCCGATATAAAAAATCAATATCCATAAGATGCTCCCAAGCTATCTCTATTTTTTAACAAACAAGTATCCGCCTATAATAATTAGAACAAGAACACATCTGTTACATAGTACGATTAATTAAAAGCATCCGTTGTATGATGAATCAGTAAAAAATTCTTGGAAAGTTTGTAAAATGTGGCTCCGCATTGCTTTTTGGAATAATAGCGTTGTGTTGAGTACGAAATCGGTAAATGACTAATCCGGTTGTTATTACAAAACGAAAGCTTATCGATTTTTCTGATAGCAATGAATACTCTTGTATGTGGCTTTGAGAGATAACCACAAACAATTTACAGATTCCGTTACTGTATTATTAG